TAGGAGTTCTCTATACATTCCAACTGGCCTTAGGGCTGGGATCCCAAATAGAAATGAAAGCCCAGGTCTTCATTCAGAACACATTTATTCTAAGTGTTTATTTCCCTCCTCATCTGTGTATGTAGAAGTCGACTGAAAGAAGACTGACTATCTTTGCATCTCTTTTCAAGTATCATTTGAATTTTTACCTTGACACATGGTTTCATTTGAGTTGGCTGTGGCTTTGAATAGGAATAACTCCCATAGGTTCACATGTTTAGAGGCTTGGTCCCCAGTTAATGGAACTGTTTGGGAAAGATTAGGAGTTGTGGCCTTGCTGAAGGAGGTGTATCACTTGGGGTGGGCTTTGAAGTCACAAAAACCCACATCAAGTCCAGTGCCTCTTGCTCTCAGCCTATGGACCAAGATGCAAAGCTCTCAGCCACTGCTCCAGCACCATGCCTGTCTGCTTTCTGCCATGATGATCATGGACTAACCTCTAAAACTATAAGCAAGCCCCAATTAAATGCTTTCTTTTTTAAGAGTTGCCTTGGTCATAGTGTCTCTTCACAGCAATAGAACAATATCTAAGACACAGGCCCAATGTCAGGAAAGCCAGCATTCGTGGTAGAAAACTGCAGTTCATGGAGAGTCTTTCACTCCCTGGACAAGACTTTTAGAACTCAAACCTATTGTCTGTGGAAATGGGGATTAACTTTCCAAGCCAGCATCAATTCCCAGGGGATGATCCCCAGCCGAATCTCACACAGGCTGTGGCATTCTCCATCAAACCCCACAGGGAAACAAGATCCAAGATACCTGGCTTTGGGAGCGTTAGAGCCAGATACTAGTAGTTGGCACCAGGTTAAGTTTCTTGATTTGGTTCTTGTCTCTTTGGCTTTGCTTTCCTTCCTCATTGCGACAGATCTCAGCCTGAATATGATGTTGGAGAAAGAAAATGATGGCAGTTGTCAATCTGAGGCTCTGAGAGTTTGCCACGGTTGGTTCAAAGAGCTTGTACCAGCAACTTTGCAGTAGGCTCTGGCTACCTAGCTAGCAAGCCTATGCTCTGGTACTGTTTGTCTGTTGAGGCTAGAATGACTGTGGGGAGCACTGGATATCCCTGGGAACTTCTTTCCTGTTTGTTTTGTTTCTTTGATGCTCTCCATGTTCCTAAATGATTCCACTGAGAGACTGTGTGGTAGAGTCAAAATTGGGTCATAAATATTCCCCATCCTTGTGTTCATTTGCTTTTGCAAAGTCTGCTGCTCTAAACAGGTGGCACCTGTTTCTCCTCCCCTTGAACTGCCATATGGGAAGGAAGCATTGAAGAACACTTGTTAATTGGGCCTCTCTCTCTTGCCTGCTCTTTAGAGTCATTAAGACCACTATAGTAAGTAGTTTGTTCCAGATATCTGGAATATTAGAGATCAAGGACATGAAACAAAAATAGCCCACGGAGCTTCTCCTAATCTGTCAATCCAGTGTGATGTGGATAAGACCATCTTTAGCAGCTACCAGTTGACTTCCCAGGTGCCTGAGATACACAGACAAGCCAGTCTGAAACACCTGAAATGCTCAGACCAGAATAATCTCCATGTGAACCAAACAAACAGTTGGTTTAAGAAATAACTGAATTTCAAGCCGGAGATATGACCTAGTGGCTAAGAGCATTTATTGCTTTTTTTAAAGGACCTGGTTCACCCAGCACCCACATGGTGGCTCACAACCATCTGTAACTTCATTTTCAGGGGATCCAATGCCCTCATTTGACCTCCAAGGGCATCAGGCAGGCATGTGGCATATATATATATATATATATATATATATATATATATATATATGCAGACAAAGCACTTACACACATAAAATAAATCTTCAGAAAGTCCACTGAGTTTTGAGATCCTAGATAACTGATGTAGAGTTATATTGTGAGTGATTTTCTGTCAAATCATCTTAGTAGAACTTGTGTTCCTGAAGATGAAGGGATATAATTCCTCAGAGGGTGAGATTCGGACCCCTGGCTTAACCACTGAGCTTGCTATGAAACAACAGACAACCCCGGGGACAATTACAACGCCAGGTGAGCTGTTGCCGAAACTGTTTCCCAGTGTTGGCTTCTCTCTCATGGATCTCTGGTCCCATACATTTCCAGGGAAACCTAAAATCCCCATATGTAAAGAATCTACCCTTGTGGTTTGTGTCCATCCCCACTTGTTCCAAAAGCGGAGTGTTTTATTCAGAGAGACCATTCTGAGCTCATGTGCTCTTGTGACTCTTCGCTTCAGGCTGCAGCAGTGGTGTTCACAATGTGTGCTGCAGGCGGCCTCCAAGATGGTCCTCAAACATTCCACCTCCTCCCCTGGCTTCATCACTCTCCCTTGAGCCTAGACTGAGCTCACTGAATGATTTCTAAAGACTAGAAAGCAATAACGTGAGATATCACTTTGGAGGTAAGGATGCAAAGACTGACCTCCAAGTTGGTCATTCCCACGTGACCATTGCCTCCAGAAGCCAGCTTCTGTGTCCAGATGTGGAACTGATGCTGTTGACAAGTAAATAAGTCCAGGAAGTAAACGCTGATCCCTCTATTAATGTCACATGATACTACCTTGACCAACAGCTTGACTAAAACCTAATGAGACGGTCAACTAGCTAAACCACACCTATATCCCAAATCCGCAGATATTGAGAGGGAATATCCATTGTGTTAGTTTAGAGGTTGCTTGTAACAAGGCAATAGCTAACTAATAGCTAACAACTTAGGTCCGGCCAATCAAAGCACCTGCCCCTCTTGTCTACCCAGACACAGTGCTTGGCTCAGAAATATACATGGGACCAGGCTAAGTCAATCAGAGTAGACCACAAGACTTTCTTGTTATTGGAAACCAGCACACACTCATGTATTTTGTGTGTGTCCATATGCACACATGTGTGCCACAGCATGCGTGTGGAGATCAGGGGACAACTCTAGGGAGTCAGCTTGCTCCTTCCACCGTGTAGATTTGTGGGATTTGTCACAGGTCGTCAGAATTGAGAGTGAGCATCAGTCCCTCCTGAGAGGATCCCCTAGTACCCTTTCACAGGCACCTTCTCTCTTTTTCCCGAGACACGATCCTAGCAAAGGGATCCTAGTGAAGCGAGACTTCTGCAGTCATCACGTCCCTGTGAGTGGAGAGTCCTAGACTATGGTGTTGGGCACTGTGATCCCCACACCCAGAACCATGCCTGGCCCAGCACAGGTGCCTAGTGCTCACTAAATGAAAGACAAGTCGGTCTGCAGCATATAGAGAAAGAAGAAGCTGACAGGCATTGGTAACTGCCTCTCTAATACAGTCTTAAATGGGACACAGTGCCAAATGTCTATAGGAATCCATATACTTTTGTTTTCATAAATGCTGCGTAGAACCGTGGTTTCTCACGTTTGAATTTGTCTTCAGCCAATTTTCACTGGCAGGGTTTCTAAACTTCTCAAAAGATGAGCTCACTCGTAGATCAATGGATTCCCTGTATCTGCCCATTTGCTCCATTTGCTGGGGCTCCTCCAAGAGAGGGGATGAATAAACCGTGGAGCCAGGATGTATGTGGTGTATGACGAGTTTGCTCTTTTCTGCTACCCACCAGCCTTAGCAGCTACAAAGGCATGTGCTACAGAGTGCGTTACTGAACATTTCCAAAAGGAAACAGAAGCACAACTCCATTCAGAGATGAACGCAGCCGGCCGACACGGGTGACTCAGTGGCGAGCCACTCTGTGCTGGGAGTGGGACGTCTCATCTCACCAGCAGTGTGCAAAAGAAACCCTCCATTTCCCCATGTTTCCCTGTGTCTTTCTGAGCAAATGTATTACATTTTGTTTGTGTGTGTGTGTGTGTGAGTGCATGACATAGCATACATGTGCAGCTCAGAGGACACACTGTAAAAGCTCATTTTATCCTTCTGTCGTGTGGGCCGTGGGAGTCAAGTTTGAGTCCTTAGACTTGGCAGCAGGTAGTTTTACCTGTTGACCTATCTCACCATCCCTTCCCACACTTTAAAGACAAGGTTCCATCCAAGTTGGCCTCCAACTCGCTACGTAGCCGTGAGGAAGGTGACCTTGAGCTCCTGATCCTCCTCTGCCTCTACCTTAAAAATGCTGGGTTTGCAGGCATGTGCCACCTTGCCTAGTTTAGGCACTTGTGGGGATTGAATCCAGGGTCTCGTGCATAGTAAGCATTCTACCTACTGAGCTAAAGTCCAGGCCAAGAATGCAGACATTTCTTACTTCTGCTGAATTACTCCACATGGAAAGATAAGCCCAATCATTGCCATTCTTCTCATTTTTATCCCCTGCTTCTGAAAAATCCACAAAATTCATGTGAAATGCTCCATTTGAAATGCGTATAGTGGTTTCAATGCAAATAAAATCAACACTAGTGAAAGGCACATGTCAGCTGGCGATGTCCGCCTGTGTTCCTCGCATCTGTGATGCAGCCTGTTTAGAAACAGATACGCACACGAGAGGGTTCGCATGTATGAATTCAGTTTAATCATACCAATTCTTAAACAAAAAGCTTCCTCCAAGAGACAAGAGTTCACAGGAACTGCAAAGCTTTATTCACGACTTTTAAAAATACCGTAGGTCATGCTGAGGTGGCATTCAAAGGGGTAGTAGACAGGAACCGTAAAAACTTCGACCAGGAACATCAGCGTCTGGCTTTAAAAATTACAAATACCGAAGCGTTTTGGTATCGGACACAGTTAAGTTTTTGACACTGTTGGTTCGTTGGGTGAGTTTCTGGAAGTCTGGAAACCTGTACCTCTATCAGTGGGTAATGCGCTTATTCTAAACTAAACATTTTCAAATGTAGAAAACAAACTAGCAAGCTATACGTACAAAGAAAAGCCCTCTAAGACAAGCTCTCCACACGATGGATGCCAGCGGGGGCATGAATCCTGGAAGACTGGAATTGGTCACAGACACTCGGCCTGAAGTCTTACACCCAGGCTCAGCAATGGAATCTGCATTCACCTACACATTAATGACAAACTCTGGGTTAGTATATGAGAAGCCAGCAAATTCATTTTGGTCCAAGTTCATGATGAAGAGTTTGTCAGTGGGAGTCAGTTCCACAGGCTGCCTGGTGAACTCTTTGTCGAAGTTGGAGGTGTCTCGCTTGTCTCTCTGCCAAATGGAAAGCAAAGACATTAACACAGAAGCCGAAGCAGCAGCAAGAAACACGACCAGGACATGCCAGTTACCAGAAGGCTGATAAAAAAGCTCTGGAGCGGTCAGAAAGCCCTGTGCTGACAGTTTTTAGCAGATACATTCCGTGTAACCGGTTTTCACTTCATCGTATATGCAAGCTTTGGGGCGGAAAACTTGGTGCGAATTTTCTGTGAGAAAAGATCCATTGATTTCTTTAAAGAACTGCCCTAAAGAGGTGTGTGTGTGTGTGTGTGTGTGTGTGTGTGTGTGTGTGTGTGTGTAAGGGAGTTCTATGTTTTGCCTTTGAGGTGAGTTTCATTGGTAACTATTTCCTTTAACAGCTAACGTCATAGAGTTAGTTAGCTCTTTGAGTATCCTGGAGGAAAATAACTCAGTAGCGACCCCTGTGGTCAGGAGCTGACTTCGTTGTCGGAAAAATGAGAACTGTTTGAACACACTGCTCTCAGGTGTGGAAAGCAGATCAGTGTTCACTGCAAGAGGCTAAGCACCGTCCACCTCATCCTCATGATGCCCGAGACTCACTGGTAGCCGTCTCCACACCCCAGCTGGAGCCGGAGTTGTGTCAGGAGATATGGCTCCAAGTCAGGCCAATCTCCTAGGGTCTACTTAACTCCTATTTTAGATTCAGCTCTCAAAACAAGATTGGTAGGTGTTCAGCTTCAGGGGACTGCTCAAAAGCTGACAACAAAGTCGAATCTGAGCTTTCGTGAGCCAGAGAGTCTCTTCAAAGACATTGGTAGTGTTCTTTATAAGAAACACAATCCCAAGCTGAAAGTAAGATCTAAGAAGGCGAGGTTGAAAAAACGAAACTACTCCTTTCATAGCTGGTAATCTAGCTGGCCTTCCTTCCTTCCTTCCTTCCTTCCTTCCTTCCTTCCTTCCTTCCTTCCTTCCTTCCTTCCTTTTCCTGCCTGCATGTGTATAGGCACCACTAGCTCCAGTTTGAGGAGGGTTCCACCAGGGAATGTAAATGTGGGCTGACTAGTGGGTCTTTCTGATGTGCTGGCCTCTCCAGGGTCCCTGTAAGTCCATTACACCTCACCTGTCTTGAGAAGGCAAAGTTGATGTCCTTGCCTCCCCTTGTTTGATGTATGAGAAAACTGAGGCACAGGTCAGTGAAGGGGCTTGCCCAAGACTGCAAAAGTGGGCTCCTGATTTGTGTCTGACCACATAGCAGGTATTTTACCTCATTACAGCTGCTCTGGCTGGAGAGACAGCCTAAGGGCTGCTTTCACAATGCCTGGGATCCTCGAGCACGGGGTAGCAGGTGCCTGACTGAAGCCAAGGTTGTGTCACACTGGACTTTGTTGGTTGACTCAGTTTGGTCAATCTTAGTAGGCTTAGCCCCTAACAGGGAGACTGGTTGATAAGGATTTTCTGTTGCCAGGCTTAGAACTACTACTTCTTGGCTGCTCCTTTGAGACAGACAAGATATTCCCTACTTCCTCCTGGGCTGTCAGAGTAGGGTAATGAGATTGAGAGGGACAAACTGGCATCAGGAGGTCCTCTGGAAGAGTGTGGGCAGAGAGGGACAGGCTACTCCTGAAGTTGTTTTCTACATGGCAGGCCATCTTTTGCTGTGTCCTATTCACACATTTCAGTGTGCCTTTTGTGGAAGGTTCTAGGCTTGGGCACTCAATGTGTTCCTTTTTGATCCAGAGGGAAACTGGGATGTCTTCTGTTTCTTTAATACTGTCTGTTTTTTTTTTTTTCTGTCATGATTCTACAAACCACAGGTCAGCACCTTTCCCATTGTCTTCTGCGCATTTACTGCTTTGTTTCTTTCCAGGAGGGCAAGACCCTTGTCTGTTCCTGTGCCATTGTGCTTCCAATGCCAGGAACAGTACCGAGCACACAGTAGGCTGTTCATGAGCACACAGTAGGCTGTTCGTAAGCACTCGCTGAACCAATAAAAGAAGTGTTGGTTAAAGGGGCGCCTCCTTGCTTTCTCTAATTCCTGAGGCTGATCTTTCTTCACACTGAAGCAAAATGAGAGCAGTTACTTCCAACAGCCCTAAGGCTTACATAAACGGACACTGCACTGGAGCACAGGATGAGTACGGGCAAGGTCTGGAAGCTGGAAGGCTCTCTGTGGGTGGGAGAAGGGCAGACCTGGGGCCAGAAGACAGACAGCTCCTCTTCTGGGGGGTCTCTCCCTACTTATCCATCCTTATCTGAGAGGATGTGGCAGAACTTCCCCTCCTACCAACTCTAACTTTGGAAGGCTTCTCTTATTTGCTATACTTCAACAAGCTATGTATTCCAAATAAGACTTCCTTTTAATGGGCTTCATCTCCTGAGCAGTCTCAGAAAATCCTCTATTATTTTACCCTAGCATATTGGGAGGGAATGGGGCCCCTTTGTTGTGACAATTCTTTCAGCCTTGTAGCATCTGGAGTAACATGAGAACAGAAATACTCCTCCTAGGCAGAGCATCAATCCCAATGGCCTCCCATGGGTCATTAATCACGATCCTGTCCTTTCTCGGAAGAGATCAGCGAGAATCCTAAGAACGTAAACGGGTAGATTCGTGGATCCAGACATACAACTGGTCACAGTTAACAACTTTAATTAGATTTCTTCGATTTCATTTTTCTTTTTTCTTCAATTCTCCCAGGAGTTAAATACATTTCTTGCTTTATTTTATTTTGGTGGAAAATTTAAGCCTGTTTTAGGTGTGCTACGGTCAAGGGTCACGTGCTGTGATTAGCAGTATTCTAAGAGGGTCTGTGGCTATCTGAATGATGTACCATAGAGGTGACACTCAAGATTCAGAAATAAACATAAAGCCAGGTAGCTCCCTTTCTTCCCAAGGAGAGATAACTTGGTACCTGTCTGTTGACATTGGGGGAGCTTTCTGTAGTTTGATCAAATATGGAGAGTGTGTCTTTGGCCTTCTAGAAGAGTCCTTCTCACCTCTCTCCTTCCCTCCCCTCCCCACTACATGATTGTTGAGACGATGCCCTCGGCTTCAAACTGTGGTCTGTAGAGAGACTAAGAAGCGGCAAAGACATCCATAGTGGATTTTCTTAGTAAACCCGGGGACTCTAGTCTTTCCCACAGATGGCATGCTGGAGAAGAGGGAGAAGGAGAGGGGCTGCATGTTTAGTATTTCTCACCATGATCCTGGCACCCAGCCTGGCAGTTGGTGCTCAGTAAGTGTTACCTGAATGGATGGAGGGGGCATAAGTGGATGACTGCAAAAATAAATGAAAATATTTCTTCTTGGATGAAATTTCAAAAATTTCCCTCGAGTTCTTATGTGATGAAAGCTGTTTCTTAGTTTCCTTTGATCTACAAAGTTGGTAGAACACAGTAGGAAGTCTGATTAATGATCCCTTACTTCCACAGAAGTTTCTGGGGCCCCGCCCTCAGCAAGGTACGCTAAGGGAAGGGAGACTTTGGCTTGAGTATCTATTCCTGAAAACTGTGGCCCTTGAAAAATAATGTCAAGAATCTGAAAATGTAGAGTGTAGTGTATATATTTACATATATACTATTATCTATCTATCTATCTATCTATCTATCTTATTTACTTATCCACCTATCCATTTTTCCTACATTGTTTTCTAAGGTTGTCTCAGCTCACTTGCCCAATGTTTCACTGTGGTTTTTATTCTGAGCATATGTCCAAAGCCTTGTGACTTGGTAACCAGATGAAAGACCCCTACATAACTTTCTAGGGAGTGGGTATATGGCTCAGAAATATTTGTTTTGTTATAGAACAGACAGAGCCCAGTGTTGGGAGGTCAGGATACCTGCTATTTATATTATCACTGACCAAGCTTCAAGAAAATACTTCCATTCTCCAGATACCAGCTGCCCCAATAATAAAATGAGGAGTGGGGTTGCCCTGATCTCCCCCTGTCGCTAGCATCCTAAGATTGGCAGCTAGGACATCAAGTTTGCTACACATCATCTAAGAGGGACAGGTGCCAAGCTTGAAGCAGAGTGACATAAGAAGCCAGCAAAGAAGGAACTATGAGGGTCTTTGCATCAGCAGAACTCCAAGGCATGCTTTCTAAAAGAGGAGGAGGCGCTCTTCCCTTGATAGTTTCTGTAGGATTTCTCAGAATCCCCAGAAGGCCAGGAAATCTTTGGACCTATGATAAGAATTCCCTTTAGGACTGCCAGAGAGGAACAGGGAGCTGAGCTGTAGGCAAGGGCGAGGGGTCACCTGCAGTCCTCATCTGTCCAGAGGAAAATGAAGTCTCTCCCACCACTTGGCTTCTGGGAGCTCACTGAGTTGCTTGCTCAAGGAAGCTCAAACTTGGAAGAGTAGCAATTTTGATGAGAAGCTTAAGAGGCCTGGGCACGTTCCTAGCTAGTGGCTAAGCTTGACGCTGGTGAGAATATGGACTCTGAACCCTGACAGTGTGTGTGTGGGAGAGGCTCCAGCCTGTCTACTCTACCCCATTTTAGGCCACCAGGCATTCCCTGAATGGTCTCCAGGCCCTGCTCTCTGGCTCGTTGACCACTGAGGCTACATAAGAGGCAGCTTCAGCCCTCTTTTTCCTGAGTTCCTTCCTTGGGCCCTACTTTGTAGTGTGGGTCCTCATTGTTCAAATAGTACAGTTTTCTTTGAAATAGGATTTCTTTTCTGTCTTTTTTTTTTTTTATTGTACCTTGATGCTAGGAGAAAAATATCAGAACAGATACCACAGTGCAAATGAACATTTCCACAAACATCTTGCAAAATGACATCAAACTGAAGAATGCAACCATCGTGGTTTGGAGAGCTGATGTCTTTCTCAGAGCCCAGTATCCGTTCTCCAACACCAGCGGGACACCGCAACAAACCCCCTCCCCACAGGCACAAGTCTGCCAGGCCCCGTCTTCTTGGTTCAACAAAGCAGGCCATTGTGGTTCATGACATCTGGACATAGTTTTTAAAGCATGTGTAACAAAGTGACTTTGTTTTTTGTTTTTTTTTTTTTTTTTGTATGTTTGTTTGTTTGCATTTCAACAATGACAGAAATTAAAAAAAAAAGCAAATAACGTTTGAAATGTAATGTAAAATCACGGTCCTTTGGGACCTTGCTAGAGTGACCATGTGGTTCCAGGAACAGTGCCAAATGCCGTTCTTGAGTAGTTTGGGGGATGAGGGTACCAGTTTCAGACACACAGGGTTAGAAACTGCAGCATGGTGGTAGCACTCAAGCTGATTGCCCTTTGACCCTGGAAGTGCTTTTAGACGGACTTGTCTAAAAGCGCATTCCTGTTTGCTTGGTTTCTTTCTTTCTTTCAGGTCTTAGATAATCGTCTTAACGTTGAGTTTAAAAAATAAAAATAAAAATTTATTTTTAGCACGTTCTTTCCAAAGCTCTACTGCCTGCAGAAGAGGCAGTGTGGAGGGATTCCCTCTAGGGCAAAGCAGCCATACAGTTGGATTCAAGCCAAGCTCCCAGTCTGGAAAGTGAAAGGCTATTGTTAACATTCAGCTCATCCATCCATTTTGTAGGGAGGATGTAGACTCGATGATCGGGGTAAAAAAAAAATGGCGGTGCAGAGAAGAAGGGAGAGAAAGCAAGCTTTTTCTCTCCCCGGTGGGCCCGTGAGCCGACATGCTGGGGTTGCGCACAGTGGGAGGACTTCGAGCGTGTCTCAATTATGCAGCACTTTCTTCATGCCACCTGCATAATCCCATCTCCTCGAGATGCTCCAAACTACCTGAGGACATTTGGGTTCTGAAACATGGCCACTCTAGCCTCATCAGAAAAGAAAACACAGATGTAACTTGGCAATGATTAAAAAAAAAAATGTCACCATGAGAGCTGTTGAGCTTGAATGACAGAAACGGAGGACGGAGATCTACAGATCTACTTAGCTCTTGACTTCAGGTTTTAAAAATTCAGAGTTAACAAAGGAAAATCCTTCGAATTCTGATTGGTCAATATTCCTGATGACTTCCTGGTCAGGAGGTGTTAGGACTGGTGGATGGCGGGTGAAAAACCGGTCGAAGTTTTCAGCATTTCGCCCACACTATGAGAGGGGGAGAAAAGAACTTGTGGTGGGTGGGAACAAAACAAAATCAAAAGCCAAAACAAAACAGAACTGAACAGAACCGGGTGTGGTTTTCCTCCAATCCCATCCCTTTGGGAAACTCAGAGATGCTGTTTTAATGATCAGGAATGAGAGCAATGTCAAATGCAAAATCCTCATGACCTTTGGAACACGACCTTGGGTTTCTACCCTTTGAGTGCTGTAGCATAGCCCCCAGGTCAGTCCTGGTTTCCTCTTGGGAAGTCAGGAAATGTATGGCAAAGGCATGAGATGGTGGGAATAGTAGCATGTGGCGTGTCCCCACCCCCATCACTCACCCCAATGATTCAGACAGGGCCAATAATATTGACAGATGTCAATAATGACCCATCCATACATCACCTGGCGAGCACATCATTTATAGCAGCAGATCCCTTTAAGTGCTCTTGATCAGGAACGATAGGTGTTAACAGTTCAACCGAATATAGTTTCCAAACACCAGCCAGTGGAGGGAGATCCCTACCAAGAGATCTCAGCGACACCACAAAGTCCCTCTAGATTAAACATTGACCCTTAATGACAAGGTCCCAGGAGGTGAAAACAAACACTTTCTCCAAATAGGAAACCTGGTATGGGAAGCAATTCACAAGCACACGCGGAATTCCTGCCTAGGGAAAGGAGAGGAGTTGCCACATCAAAGCTCTCGTCCAGCCGGTGCTCCTTCCCAGCAGAACCGTGTGCAGGGAACCCCTCGGCATCCTGGTATCTATAGGAGGTGCTGTGGCTTGAACACACAGTGTCTCCCACGTGATCAAGGGTTCAGAGACTTGGACCTCGGCTGGTGTCACCATTTTGGAAGGTTGTGGAACCCTTAGGAGATGGAGCCTCACTGGAGGAAGTAGTTAGTAGCCTTGAGGTTCTATATTTTGGCAGTACTTCCTGAATGCTCACCGCTTCCTGGCTGCTGATGCAAAGAGACCCAGACACCTTCCATTCTTGCCACTTACCAAGTATTTGGTGACGGTGATGAGAAAAGTAAGTAAGGCAGGAGGCAACATCGACCTAATCCTATGACAATATTAGTCATGATAACGGCAGGTAATCTATGTTGTGTGTGCGCCATGGCTAGTCACCTGGTGAAGAACTTTATCCAGATGATCTCATTTAACTCTCTCAGCGGCCTTATGACATGTATCATCACCACGGCCTCAACAGATACGGAGTTACGTGTTCAAACAATTGGTGCTAACTCGAAAGGTTACAGAATCTTTGGGACTGTGGCTTCGCTAGTGGAAGCGGCTCACTGACGGCAGGCCTTGAAAAGGATATCCGCTTCGGATAAGGTTTCCGTGCTCTGCTTCCTGCCCATCATGTGACCAGATGCCTCACATTGCTACCGCCCATGCCTTCTAGTGGACCAATATCCTCTGAAACTGTGGCTCGGAACAGACCTTCCTCCAGTAAGTTGCTTCTGTGAGGTACTTAATCACAATTCAAAAAAAAAAAAAAAAAGGAACTAATGCAAATATTATCCTCCATTTTATAGATGAGGAAACTGAGGCTGGGAAGATCAAGGTCAAACAGCTAGCCACCTAACAGGATCTTTGGCTCCACATTGATGAATATAGCCGAGAGGAAGTGACAGACTGAATTGTGGAACGGGGCAGAAGGGGGAGCGGAATCATGGCTCAGGTGTTGCAGTCACTGTTTTGATTGACAGCGAACATGGTTATCTCAGCAGCAGAGACAGAACATGGGAAAATTCAGAAAGACAATAATTAGCGATTTCCATTTTGGGATATGTTGGTTGTAAGAGTCAGGGCATGTCTAGCTGAGAACTAAGGGGGAGGGGCAGGTGTTATGGGGCTCAGGAAAGACCTTGAAAGAACCTTTCAAATGGCACACCAAGTAGGGGTGTGTGTGCGGATAGTAACAGGGATGGCCACCAGGCACGCTCCATGAAGCTGGCCTGCCCTATTGGCTTTGCTCATGGAATCTTTTAAATTCATACGCTAACTCTTCAAGTCACAGATTTTTCTCCCATCTGCCAATGATGCAACTTCCCTCAACATTGTCCTAGAGCCCAAGGGAACCAGGAGGAGCAACTCAGACACACTAAGGACTAAGAGAAACCATGGGCAGAAGCGCTGTATGGAGGAAAATACCTCTAAAAAGTCGGGCAGGAAAGTTTGCTAAAAGGAAGCATTTTTTTTTTTTTTAATTTGAGCATATACGGAAGGGACACTGGGAGTTGCCCGAGCTCTTGTCATGTGATAATGAAAGACCACTGATAGAAGACCTGCAAGTGTCTCTGTAGAGCCTTAATAAGGAACAGGCACACGGAACGGCACCGTCAGGGAGCCACAGCTGCCGCCCACCACAGCTGCCACCCAAACAAAAGCGAGCTCTGGGTTCTATGTCCTGCAAACAAGGATGGGAATCTTGGCCTCTTGTTAATCACTGGCTGGACAACTGTGAGGACATTTTTGAATGTCTCGGGCTCCTCTTTGTAAAACAGGGGCAACCGTGGGTCTTATCGTTCGAGGTTGTGATGATAACAACAGGAAGTGATCTGCGCGACAAGGGCCTGGGATGGTTTCTAGTTTCCTCTGTGAAGCGTTATCTGCAGTGCACACTTCTGAACAGGGCTTAGTTCAGAGCCACTTAAGTTTTAAATGCTGAAGACACAGAGTTCCAGTTTTAAAATTCTCACTAAGCTTAAAGAAACATACTTGCTGCTGGAAAGATGACTCAAGTAAAGTGCTTGCCACTCAAGAATGAGCACCTGAATTCTGCCCCCAGCACCCATACAAAAAGAAAAAAAAAATGTCGGGCACAGTGGTGTGTGCCTGCCATCTCAGCTCCAGTGGGATGAAGACAGAAAGATTCCCTGGGCTTGCTGGCCAGCCCCGTTTGTTGCCGCCTTGGGTGGGTCACTAGTCTAGGGGTTGTAACCCACCCTGCAGCTAGTTATTCCAGGGTCAGTGAGAGACCCGGCCTCATAAAACAGAATGGGAAGCAACTGAGGAAGATACTCACTACATCAACCTCTGACCTCCACATGCACATGAATACATGTGCACATGTATACACACATGCACACACACATGAACATGTATACATATCACACAAACGTGCATCCATCAACTTTAGTGTAAGAACAATATCCACATTGTGAAAATGTATCTCATATTCACTCTGCTATGGGAAATTTAAAGGCACAAATGATAAAAACAAAAGGACGTGAAGATTATGCAAGGATATGAGATAAGGAAGTTCTAGAAAAAAGCTTAAATAAATGTATTTATAATTTGAGAGTGAAAAAGACATTTCCAAAGGGTTAAAACCAAGATGCAACAAAGAAAATTGTGCCTAATGATGTTAAAAACTAAAAACGTGTGTGTGATTAAAAAAGAAAGAAACCACAAAAAAACCCGAAATAACAAATAAGCCTAAAGCCTAATAACACACTAGATAAAATGTATTTGCAACATCGACTACAGAAGGGACCATTAACTTATAAATATGAATTATAAGTTAAGTGATTATGTGTGATTATGTGCTAAGAAGAAAAATACAACCCAAAGGGAAATTATAAAAGGGGGGAATTTTCTTTTTATGGGTGCAGGGAATTGAACTTGGGGTTTCACATATACTAGATGAGTATATTCCCACTGAGCTATATTTCTAGCCGGAGAAATCTGTTTTTAAAAACATTTGTATTTATTTTAAATTATGTGTATGTGTGGTAGATACGGGCACTGAAGTACAGGGGCCTACAGAGGCCAGAAGAGGGAGCATAGCACAAATTCTATTTGGTCTTAATAATAAAAACCCAGCGTCAGATATTAGGAAGTGAAAGCTGAAAGATCAGAGAAGCAGAGCAGCCAGCCACTAGAGTTCTTACCTCTACGCAGTTCTCAGAAGGGAAGGGTATCCAGTCTTTAAAGTCCTCAGACTGAATGCCTTGAGCTCCTGCCTCCTCCCACCTTATATTCCTCTCTCTGCCAAGCCACATTCCTTCCTGTCTCTGTGAGTTCAAGGCCACCCTGGGCTACACTAGGATGATCAAGTCACAAACAGAAACAGAGCCAGGTGGTGGCGGCTCACAGTGCCCAGTACTTGGGAGTCACGTGCCTTTAATCCTAGCACTAGGAAGGTGGAGACAGGAAGGAATATGGCTGAGCAGAGAGAGGAATGTAAGGTAGGAGGAGACAGGAGCTCAGTGCAGTCTGAGGTTTGGTGGAGACAGATGGAGTCAGGAGATGCAGTCTGAGGACAGGATCGTTCCTTCGGTCTGAGCATTGGTAGAGGTAAAGGAACTCTCTAGTGGCTGGCTGCTCAGGCATTCAGTCTTAGGATTCCTAGAGAGAGGATCTTGCCCCCTTGGGTCTGAGAATTCAGTGGAGGTAAAAAGTCTCTCTAGTGGCTGGCTCCATTACTTCTCTGATCTTTCAGCATTTAGCCGGATATATAATTCCAGATTTTCAATATTAAGACCAACTAGAATTTGCGCTACAAGGGAATCGGATTTCCTGGGGCTAGAGTCATAGGCTTCCTAATAGGTACACTGGGAGCTGAGATTGGGTCTTCTGCAAGAACAATATTGTGCACTTAACTGCTAAATCATCTCTCTAGCCACCCTGAGAAAACGATTTTTATGGAGTCGAAATACACAAAATGTGCTCAAATTTGATTCACAATTAAGGAAATGGGCTTTGAGCATGTGCTTGGCGAAGCGAGTGCGGGCGGTGTCAGTTGGATGTCTCAGAAAAAGAGCATTGCATGTAGAGGCTTGCATGTGCAAATGCCCTGAGGCAGGAATGTACTTGCTGCCATCCCCAGCGAAGCCAGAGTGGGAGTAGAGTGACCAAGGGGCAGGAGGGACAGGGAAGGTCCCAGAGCATGATACCCATGGCCATGCAAGGACATGGAATTTTCATCTCAGTTTGAGAAGCTCTGAGTGACATGATCTGTTTAAATGAAGTCATCAGGATTGT